CCCCCCCCCCCTCCCCCTCTTTTTTCATAACTTGTTGATGTGTTACACGATTATAACAATTCAAAAGGGTGTGCTCCGTGTTAAACTTGAGGACCATTTATTGGTCCAAATGTTTATCATTGAAGACATTGTAGTACCACTACGGGGGTGAATAAAATAAACCCAGTAGGTAAGGAAATGCACTAGTATTTCATTTTTAAAATGAGCATTGGATGGTCAAATCGCTATAAGTAGGCGCGTGTGGATCACGCGGGTTAGTGAAACTAAAACACAACTATGTAACTAATACTTGACCTAACATAACTGTAGCAGGGACCAAATTCATATGTCAACAATGGCACTGTTCCCTTAGAAATTAGCTGAGATATACAATATTCCACACATATTTGGATTTAGGTAGTTAATACACATTAGTTTAGATACTTTCAACTACTGCAGAATACTTGTGTTTGATGTCAAATACTTGTTAAATGCAGTAGCCCCTTTCTAGGAAGAACTAAAATGGATAACCCTCGTAATTAAATCAATGTCAACCCCTAATCTTTGGCGTCGAGTTTGTGTTCTATGTGACTGTCTTTTGGATTAGATTGCAATACATATCTCATCATTTTGACTGAGGTCTATAATTTGCGAGAGACCTTTGTGTATATTTTATTTACACAATTATATAAATCAAAGTGATATAATATCTCCTTTCTAAATGTAAAGTAATCATGCGACACACTTATAATCCGTATAAAATAATATTATATTACTTCAGTCTCGATTATACACAAAAGAAAACAAATTAATTCATACAAACAAATAAAGATAATTAATATTATTTAATTTTATTAATTTCATTTAAAAAATAAGATTTTAAATGGACGCATATTATTAAAAAAAATATCATTAAAAATACAATCTCAATTAAATAAAAAAATATATTTAAGTATGATATCATTATTATACGGAGTGAAATTATAGTGAGATTTATTTATATTTAAAATCTACAAAAGTAGATTTTTTGTGTGTTTATATTTGAAAGTAGAGAAAATAATATTATATTAAAAATAAAAATAAAAAAATTGATTAAGGTGATTTAAATATATAAAAAATGAAAAGACACCATAAAAATTAGTGAGAAGAGTAAATCAATACATGAAAATTATCATATAATAATACATACTTTATAGTAGTACAATACGTGTCATTAAAAATTAGTTTTACTTATATAATTAATACAATATATGTTTGTATATTGTTTAAAGGGCAAATATAAGTTATAATAACACACAAAATATGTTGTTAAATTTTATTCAAAATCAACACTAAAATTATATATAATTATATGTCAAATTAATAGATGTATACATATATATATATATATATATATATATATTATATTTATAGGAGTTGATAGAGGTAAGTATTACATAAAATATGTCGTTAAATATCATTTAAAATCAACACTAAAATTGTGTGTAACTATATGTCAAATATATATATATATTATATTTATAGTAATACTTTTTATATATCAATATATATAATATTTTTTTGTAATGAATTATATGATTATTATTTTTATATAAAAAAGAAGGGAAGGAGGCCAAAAAAGACATAGGAGGAAGTCTTAAGAATAATCTTAAGGTAATTAAATAACACTACAATAAGATGTGTTTTTAACAATATTAAAAACATGTTGCCAAATTATAAGTAAATGTTACAACATTTTATTAAATATAAGATAAAACTTATGTTAGTAGATACTTTTAGCAACATTTTTATAGAATTATATTTTGTTTTAATATAGACAGTATTATTGTACATTCTTTATATTTTATGGTACCTATTTACAAGTTTTTTAAAAGTTAAAGATGTCATAAGTTAGTTACCAACAAATCTAGATCAAATATTAAAGATTATTTATTTTAAATTTTACTTTATAATTATATATAATCTTTATGTATATTCTTTTATTTGATATGTGATTTTAGTTTTATAGAATAATTAGTAAAATAATATTGAAATAAAAATGTTACCATATTTATAGTAATATTTTCTATAAAAAAATATTGTAATAACCTATTAATTTATTTTATAATAATATTTTAATAAATATAACTAATCAAATGTTACTAATTACTGGAACGATATTTGACTACAGGCACATATAATAACCAATGTGAGAAGAGAATCCCATTCACATGTCCATATTGTTGTGACACCTTCTTTAATAGATGGACACATAACAATTGGTTTGGTTTGAGGAATTCTGCAGCACAAGATGTCTTGAAAAGACTCACCCAAATATTCAAAAATGCTCCCGATGTTTTAATGTTAATATGTCTATTGAATAAACTTTGTACTGAGATGTTTTACCATGTTAAGAGATGTCATCATCAAATGAATAATCACTCAAATGAAAAACTAATCTCTATGGAATTGAGTTTGTTGCTTGCATGGATTTTATGTACAATGATTTGCGTGCAATTGCTTATTCGTTGATGATATATTTAATTCTTTGTGTATGTTGTTGTTATTTGTTAATTTTTATTTTATTTTATATGTTAATTTATCCACACATACTATTACGTAGTACTTGTATCTGCATGTTTATCCGATCTTGTTAGTAAGTTTTTTTTTAATGGCAAAAAAGATTTTATTGAATGAGAAGATAAAGGATACAAGGGATATTCAATCCAAACATACTTTAATTACACATGTGAGTATCTCTCAATCAAAATATATCTTCTCCCTCTAAGTAACTCATCCATATTACCAAAAAAAAATATCCCAAAGTACTTATAACTAACATAAATAACTTACAACTAAAATTGATTTTACAAAAAAATATATATATATACTATTAAACCCACTACTTCTACGGTCTACACTTATACCTTGTCGGTAATCGTAAATGTTCCCACTTAGTTGATGATAGAAGATATGTAGGCTCTAAGATTTACAATGTATTTGTCAAAACTAAAATCAAAGTATTTTTTTATTTAATCTCAATCAAATCCAAGATATGATGAACATTATGTCCCGTAATAGTTTTAATTTATCAAAATCTTTTCCTTTAAATACATAGTTGTTTCTATACTCTATAAGTTCCAAATAACAATGTATCACACGATATTTCTCCCAATGCAATATTTCTTTCCAAGAGATTGTCAATTGTTGGAAACTTATTAAAATAAATTCTCCAAAATAGAATTACTACATTTGGTGGTACCTTCCATTCCCAAAAAATTTCAAGTGTTTTGCACTCCTCTATATTTAGATTTTAGAATCCCTAATATAAATCATTTTTCATTGTTGTCCTTATCAAGTCAATAAAACCTTCTACTACAATATTGAACATAAATGATGCTAAAGGATTATCTTGTTTGAGTCCCATGTGAATCTTGAATTCAATTGTTGGACTACCGTATACTATAAAACTAAAACATGGTGTTGCGAAACATTCATGAATTAATCCACCATCTCAATTTTGTGTAGAAATCCAATCTTTACACCATATAAGCTAGAAACTCTCAATGAACAAAAACATAAGTTTTTTTGTAGTCCACTTTAAATAACATGTAGCTCCTCTTTTTTCTTTTGGCATCATTTATAACCTTGTTAACTAATATTGTATTTGATCAATAACATTCGACAGTACTTTCTTAAGTTTTTTTTGACAATATTTTTTTCAGAATCTTGTATCCCTCATAAATTTACCCTATGAATCATAAACACATATATGAATATCATAACTTTACCTATGAATAGTATTGGTGTAAAAGATAAACAAAAAATGTTAATTAATTTAATGTACACATATTATAAACTAAATTTTCTGAAGTAATTCTCATAATTTGACACAATGATGCTCTAACATTCTCTTGGTCGTTATAAAGAGGTCAATATGCTAATTAGGTGCAATTAGCTATGGGCCCTAAATTCATTCCCTGACCAATATAAATAAACATAATCTACATGAACAGATAACAAGCAATAACATAACTTACATGTAAAGCATACAAATTACTATATCTGACTAATTGATAATTAAATTTAGATTTGTTATCATTTAAGTGGTTTGGAGGACGATCAAAGAGTTATACTGCAAATGGAGTAAACGA